AAAATGCTGCTTTTCCGAGCCTATAGTATTATGAGCCCTCGGCAACAGAATCCATTTGGGATCGTTGTGACTTCAATATTTCTCCCACCCCCTACTTGGGATTAATTGAACCCCAATAAACACCCCCTCCCCGACCCCAAAAAGAAAAGTGACAAACATACGGATTTCCCTGGCTGCTGTTTATGTTTGTTTTGTAATAAAGACAATAATCACACACACCCATTCGCGAACAAAATGTCACGGATCCCTCTATACGTTCCCCGCTATATCCTGAGACGAGCACCCAGTAATTATTACTTAATCGACTTTGAAAAAATGGAGACCAGACATGTTTTACAGTGAAAATAGGGAGGGGAAAAGCAACACTAAGAACACACATGACAAGGACAAGAGAAATCGAGTAAAATCAAGATTCAATTTCTTTTTTGAAATAGTGGTGGCTCTGAAAAGAGCCGTTCGGTTTGATTTTTGGATATAGTGTCTAGCCGCCGAAGCCGTACAGCGTGCGTCCCTGTCTCTTCAGCGCATACACCACGTCCATTGCAGTGACAGTCTTCCTCTTGGCGTGCTCGCAGTAGGTGACTGCATCGCGGATAACGTTCTCCAGGAAAACCTTGAGGACTCCGCGGGTTTCTTCGTAGATGAGCCTGGAGATACGCTTGACTCCTCCGCGGCGGGCCAGCCGACGAATGGCTGGTTTAGTGATTCCCTGGATGTTATGTCGGAGAACCTTGCGGTGTCGCTTGGCACCCCCTTTGCCTAGTCCCTTTCCTCCTTTGCCACGGCCAGACATGTTTGTGTCTCCTCAGTCGGTTGTAGATGATTCAATGGCCATCGCGGCCCCGGCGAGGCAACTTATAGGACATGTGCAGACGCGATATGAGCATGGGAAGCCATCAACTGTTACGGCGCCCTCTGGCGACCAATCGTGGCAGGAGCACAAATCCTGGAAACAAACAAATCAGAAGCAAAACAAGGGGAAAAGGGATAACAAATAAGAAAAGGAAGAAGATGCCTAGAAACATATTGCAACGAGACTCAAACAATAAATGTATAACCAGACACAGAGGGGTCGTGGCCAAGCCTTTTTTTATTTTTTTTTATTTTTACACCTTGAACGGAAATCAATGGAAACACCAACATCATAATTTAACAAGACTTTACACACTTACCAATATTTACCGTAATTCAATGTGAAAGCCCTGTCACCAAAACGTCAAAAGAAAACGAACTTTTAACGACGGGGCACCGTAGTCAGAACCTGTTTTTGTATTAATTGATGTTCCCCGAAGGGAGTGGGCCGAATCCCGGATGTACTGCTATACCGGGCCAACCCGTGGCCGGGACGAGGCAAGCCTCTATTCCACGGCCCAAATCCAAAAATCAGTTTAATATACTGGCTGTTCAATGAACAGCGTTTCAGATATTAAGCTGAAAAGAACAGATACTATTTTTTTTGGTTTCGGGATCCTCCTAAAGAAGATCCCAGGATAGGGTAGTCACACTACACCTTAGTTAGTGAGGCTACGAGCCTCCCTACCCTTTTACCTACTATCAAGAACAAACAGACACTTGACAAAGACAAGACATGCAGTCTGTGTAGCCACGCTACCCACGCATTACCATGGTAGGGTACGACCCTAACTGAGTGACAGGAAAAAATACAAACAGAAAACTATACCCTGAAACTTCCGGACGCAACAACGCTCATGCGAGCAAACATACACTAAAAAGGACCTAAAGGGTCCTAACCAACAGAGCGAAAACGCTCACAGGTCCGACCTAAGGAACCGAAACGGTCCTCAAACAACAAAAGCCAGCAAAAAGCCAAGCTTAGTAAAAAAAGGCCTAAGGGGCCCCAAAACCAGGAGCAAAAGAACTCCCACAAAAAGGGGACCTAAAGGGTCCCAAAAAACAAGGAGCAAAAGGCTCCCACAAAAAAGGACCTAAGGGGCCCGAGATAAACAAGGAGCGAAAGTCTTAAGGCTGTAATAGTGCAAAAAAAAAATCACAACCTAAAGACAAGTTGGTCGTCTCTGATGACACATACCGCTCCCCGCACGCACCAGATGGTACGGAACTTGGCCCGGTCCAGCCGGACAAAGTCTAAACGAATGCGGTTCTTGACCGCAGCCTTGACACGGTTAAGCACGTGGTCGGCATCCGGCCGTGAGCCATCATACAATGTCTCACAGCGCGAACACCAAACCAACCACTTCACCGTGCTAATCAAATACCAGACCAGAAGAGAGTCTGGCCTGGTCTCTAGCCCTGACCCATACAAAACGCAGGAGCGGGTCAGGGAAAAATAGCGGGCCAGGGCTTTACCACCAATGTGTTCGACCCATGCCCACAAAATGTAAACAAAAGGGCAGTCCCAGAAAACGTGGCACAGTGACTCGGGAGCGGCACAGCCAACCCGAGGACACTGGCCGTCACCAATGCCCCAATGGCCTAAACGTTGGGAAGTTTTCAAGGCCCCCCATATCACCCTCCAATTCAAGTCGCGCAAGCGGTTACTCAAATTGGAGGAGTGACACAATTTACAACGGGGCCAAGAAAAACAAAGGAGTTAAAATCAAGGTGTTGACCAGCCAGCACCTTGCCTAAAAGAGAGAGCATCCTCCCTTTCCACATGTCCAAAGTGGACTGCAAATTGGGGATCCGCTCTCTCCAATTCATAGGGCCCATGTCCCCACCACCAACCCAGACACCGTTGATTTTAATCGGGTCTCTGGTCCACTGGATAGGGTCCTCTTCGGGAAGGCAGTCTGGCCATGAGCCAAAAACCAAGCCTTTCGACTTGGCAAAGTTAAGGCGAGACCCGCTCGCACGAGAAAATGCATCAATGATGCCAAACAACCGCCTCACCGATCTGAAATCCCGAACTATGCAGGTTGTATCGTCTGCGTACTGCAGAACCCTGCATTCGAGGCCACTGGCCCCAGGGATTGTCAGGCCGGCAAGACGGCTATCTTTAATAACGGTCTGAGCAAAAGGCTCGATAAAAAGCACGTATAAAAGAGGGGAGAGGGGGCAACCCTGCCTCACTCCCCTCGTGATTAAAAAGGGTTCTGAAAGAGAACCATTAGTTAAAACGGCACTGGATATGTTTGTGTACAACAGCTCTATCCAGTGCCGAAAATTAGGTCCAAAACCAAAACGGTCAAGGACCTTAAAAAGAAAATCCCAATTGACCCTGTCAAAGACCTTCTGCTGGTCTAGGGAAATAACAAGGCAGTCAAGGTTCTTCCCATCCACGAATGCTACCAGATCCCGAAGGAGTCTGATATTATCATGGATGGACCTCCCCTTGACGCCACAAGTTTGAAACTGACCGACAATGTCGGGCAACACCCGACCAATGCGGAGGCACAAGGCCTTCGACAGGATCTTGTAGTCAACATTGAGAAGGGATATAGCACGCTTGTTCCTAGGATCAAGCGGATCCCCACCCTTCTCTAAAAGTGTGATGATTCCCAATCGCTGGGAATCACCTAGACTATTTAAAGAAAAGGCACAACGAAAGACCCCGAGAAGGTCGGGACCGATCAAATCCCAGAACTTCACGTAGAATTCCTTGGGCAGGCCGTCCCCACCAGGAGCCACATCGAGCTCAGGCAGCCCAAGTGGGCTGTCCAAGTCAATGCGGCTCGCTTCGTCCAAAACATTGGACAGAGAGTAGTATATACAGAGCATCTCGACCCCCAATGAGGTGGCATCGAGGTGAGGCGTGAGGCGGGATGGTGAGGCGGGTGAGGCGGGATGAGGCGGGATGAGGCGGGTGAGGCGGGATGGTGAGGCGGGTGAGGCGGGATGAGGTGGTAGTAAGGTGGAGGTGGTAGTGAGGTGGAGGTGGTAGTGAGGTGGAGGTGGTAGTGAGGTGGAGGTGGTACTGAGGTGGAGGTGGTAGTGAGGTGGAGGTAGTAGTGAGGTGGATTTTTTTTTTTTTTTCCTTTAAATTTGATTGTAATATTATTTAGATTTTAAGATGTCTTAGCTTACGGCGCCACTTTAGTGGTGACAGTGAGCTCACGCTAGTGAACCCGAACGGAGTGGGTAGAGGCGTAAGCCTCTAGACTTGTGTACGAGCGACGAAGTCGCGAGCAGGCCTCCATTACGGAGCCACGTTAGTGGCGACATTGGCTTTACGCTAGTAACCCGAACGGAGAGGAACTGTAACGTAAGTCTCGATACTTGTCTCGAGACTCGTGTGAGAGCGATGTAGTCGCGAGCACGGCTCTAAGGCCCTGGTTTCCTGAGTACCCTACGACTATCTGCTTTTTTTCCTTTTCTTTTTTTTAATTTTCAAGACCAGTTGTAAAAAAATGTTAAATTTAATTCGTTATTTAGTATTAAATTAAAACGTTGTGTAGTATATACATGTAGATAGGCCTACACTACCAATACGCGAGCCATTCTTATTTCTAAAGATGAGCTTTCTTAATGTACAAGATGAGCTGTCCATCACATTGGCCTTTGTTCTAATTCTAAGACTAGTACCGATGTTCTGTGGCACGGCCCCGTGGTTGCCGGAGCAACTTCCACAACAAACATCACAAGGGCTTTCCTAATTTCTAAAATGAGCTTTCTTAATGTACAAGATGAGCTGTCCATCACATTGGCCTCTGTTCTAATTCTAAGACTGGCACTGATGTTCTGTGGCAAGGCCCCGTGGTTGCCGGAGAGACTTCCACAACAAACAGCACACAGGCTTTCCTAATTTCTAAAGATGAGCTTTCTTAATGTACAAGATGAGCTGTCCATCACATTGGCCTCTGTTTTAATTCTAAGACTGGTACAAGTGTTGCCGGAGCAACTTCCATAACAAACAGCACACGGGCTTTCCTAATTTCTAAAGATGAGCTTTCTTAATGTACAAGATGAGCTGTCCGTCACATTGGTCTCTGTTCTAATTCTAAGACTGGCACCGATGTTCTGTGGCAAGGCCCCGTGGTTGCCGGAGAGACTTCCACAACAAACATCACTTTGTTAATGTGGATCTAAGAAGTAACCGTGACAATCATTGTCATGTAAAAAATTCTCAATGGTCGTTGCCAAGGTGTCTTTGAAAATACGGGTGTTCTTTGGGAGGGTATAACTAGGATGCAGCACAAGGCCCGCTCATTTCTGAGTGATCGACCGATCTTAGATAGTCAGCTTTACTTCCCGTCGAACTTCAACCATCATCGTCAATATGTCTCAGCAGCCTTGGGAGAGCCCTGACTACACGGACAGCGAACTGGACGAAATTCAAAGAATCGCCGATGAGATGTATAAAAACGTAAGTGCATGATTTTATTCCAAAATGTTTGCATTTAAGGCACCAACCTTTTGCGTATCTTATCCTTGTATTTGTAACCTATATAACGAGATATAACCCTGAAAATATAAAATTACATGCTTTGATTTTTTCACAATGTTTGCATTTAACGCACCAACCGTTTGCGTATTTCATCCTTGTATTTGTAACCTATTTTACGAGATATAACCCTGAAAATATAAAATAACATGATTTGTTTCTCTTCAAAATGTTTGCATTTAATACGTCGGTCATTTCCGTATTTCATCCTTGTATTTGTAACCTATTTTACGAGATATAACCCTGAAAATATAAAATAACATGATTTGATTTCTTCACAATGTTTGCATTTAATACGTCGGTCATTTCCGTACCATCTCTTAGAATATATTTCAGTTTGGTACTTGGCCAACTTCAATTAGTGCATTTGTTAAAACTCTTTATCCTTTTCACATGTTTTACGCAATGTACGAACGCATAAAATTGCATGATTTGTTTTTCTTCACAATGTTTGCATTTAATACGTCGGTCATTTCCGTATCAGTACCATCTCTTAGAAAATATTTCAGTTTGGTACTTGGCCAACTTCAATTAGTGCATTTGTTAAAACTCTTTATCCTTTTCACATGTTTTACGCGATGTACGAACGCATAAAATTGCATGATTTGTTTTTCTTCAAAATGTTTGCATTTAATACGTCGGTCATTTTCGTATCAGTACCATCTCTTAGAATATATTTCAGTTTGGTACTTGGCCAACTACAATTAGTGCATTTGTGAGAACTCTTTATCCTTTTCACATGTTTTACGCGATGTACGAACGCATAAAATGGCATGATTTGGTTTTTTTTTTCAAACTTTTTGCCTTTTAAGACGTCGACCAATTCCGTATCAGTACCGTTCTTAAAATGTATTTCATTTTTGTACATGGCAACTACAATTACTGCATTTTGTTAAAACTCTTTATCCTTGTAACCTGTTTTACGTTGGTCCTGTTTTAAGTCGATAAGAATGATGTACATGTATAAGTTAATTGAAACTATCGTTTGAAGTTGCATTTCTTACTATTTTTTCTTGCTATGAAACTGAGTATCATCCGATGTGCTCAAAAACAAAACAAAACAAAACACAAAAAAGTACGATATTTATTATTATTATTATTTTGTGTATTTAACAGGATGGAGGATTTGTTTACAATCCTGTTGATTTCCCTCCTCTAAGACCACTTGACCAGGCGCCTGCATCAGAAAATGGAGGAGATGAGGTACGTGAAAATATCTTCTTCTTCTTCTTCTTCTTTTTCTCATGTATCTTACCGATATCTACAGGGTGAACCATTTTCAAGTTGAGACTTGTCCATATCTATCCATGACGTCACGCTTTGTATTATTCCGTTGTCGTTCATGAGAGTGATTGCCTGTTAAGACTTGTCGTTGACGTCACGGCTTGTCTTTGTTATTCTATTAATGAAAACTTCATAAACACACGGACCTCCCTACAAAGCAGTCGCATAAATTTTCCCGGTAATCACTGTCGCTATCGACGGTATCACACAGTGTTTGTTATACATTTGTTCTAAACGACATTTTATATTTGTTTTTAGCGTTCGTATTTGTCTTTCAGTAACGCGTAAGCTGCATCACTTATGTGGTGAAGGTGCTCCACTATCTGACTCACGAGGCCAGCAGGGTTACCATCGGAAACAAAACATGTCGCGCTTTCGAATTCGGCACGTTGCTCTCCATACTCACACTGAGAAGTTCGTGGCGGTTCTCCCACTGAAGTTTTGCTGTCTGATCATTGTTTTGTGGAGCTTGTTCGAAGTAACACTCAAAATCGTAAGTAACGCGATAAGGGAAACATTTCAAGTTTTCACTCACGCGAATTCCCTCCTCGTCCAGACGTTCGAAAATGTCGGGGGGCAAGTGGTACGCTCCACCTGCAAATTTGTGCTTAACATTTAAATTGCACGTGGGGATGTGACGTTGTAGGTTGAACGATCTAGGGAAAACTGTTCTACACTTCGTACATTCGTAATTTCGACTGTATTTCTGCAAATTGGAAATGTACGAAAAGTGATTCTCGTACAAGTTTACGAAGAGGGTACTGGGGTGATTGCACACGGGTCGACGGACCAGGTGTACTTTTGTTTGGGGGGCATCCGTATCGTCGGTGGGGTCAGTGTTTGGGGCGCTGAGGCTGTAAACCTGGACATTCACTTCAAACAGAGTCTCCGCTTTTGCCAAGTCCTCCACGGTGATCCCCTTCTCTATCTTCTTGCCAGTGGCCTCTGCAAATCTGGTCGCCAAGTATCGCGTCCGTCTCTCGAGCGCGTCTAGATCGCCTCCTTGATGAAGTGCCAGGCACCTGAAGAAACAAAGGTTATCGTCATAGGCTCGGCCATTGTGGGCATTGTGGGTAAGCCCCATAACACCACGATTGTTAGCAATGTAGTCAGGTAGCTCAACATGCGCACCAATGTAAAACTGGGGCATCTTGTTCACGTACACTGCCACGTTCATAATTGAAACTACCGTCCATTTCGTGTCGGGGCGTTGTTGTCGCACGATTTCTAAAATGTCAACATCCTCAAAATTAGTGATCAGTTGTTCCAGATCTTGGCGAGAACCAACGGTGAATGGGGTAGGTGTGAAGCTGGCATTATTGTCACTTGGGTGAAAGTATTTAAGTTCACCAGTTTCAGTATATGCTGAGTGGTTAAATTGGACTGCGCATTCGGAGGGCGTGTTTATCCGACACCAATTCAATCATGGGGAAAAATGCATCGGTCAGCAAAGAATTCCAGTTGATGGATATTGCCACGACACCCAAACCGTGTACCAGTTTCACGGGTGTTTCTGGCACGGACACGTTTGCCACCTCAATCCGCACGAATTCAATGCAGTCAGAAACCTCTCACGCGCCGAATTAAGACGTAAAACGGAACAAATTTCTAGCTACATCCGCCAGCAGGGTTATCGGTTAGTAGAAATGTACGAGTGCGAATGGAACCGTCTCAAGTCCTCCGATCGTAGCATCTCTGACTTTGTCAAATCAAAAAGAATGCCCCACGAGAACCGCATGACAATGACCCAGCAGGCAATATTGGATGGTGTGCTTGATGGATCCATCTTTGGCATGGTGGAATGTGATCTTAGGGTACCCGACTGACTGAAAGATTTTTTCGCTGAGATGCCTCCAATCTTTAAGAACACAGAAATCAGCAGACAAGACATTGGCGAACACATGCAAAGATACGCAGAAGAAGAAGGTGTCATGAAAACACCACGCCGGAGCCTAATTGGTAGCATGCACGCATCTCGACTTTTGTTTGCAACACCGCTTCTAAAATGGTATCTGACCCATGGACTTGAGGTAACTCGCATCTATCAGGTGGTACAGTACGCCGACTCACCTTGCTTTAAACCTTTTGGAGATGCTGTCAGTAATGCGCGGAGGGACGGTGACGTGGATCCAGCCAAGGCCATTATCGCCGATACGATGAAGTTGCTCGGCAACTCGGCATATGGCAAAACCGTGACCAACCAGGAGAAACATCTTGACGTTAAGATTTGCACTACCACCGAAGGAGCATCCCAAATGATCAACAAACCCCACTTCCGCGCCTTACACACACTAGAGGACAATCAGCTATACGAGGTTGAACTCAATAAAAAATCTGTACGCCTGAACCTGCCTCTACAGATTGGGTATTTTGTATACCAATATGCTAAAATGCGGATGTTGCAATTTTACTATGATTTTCTTCTTAGATTCATCGATCCATCGGACTTCCAGCTCTGTGAGATGGACACAGATTCCGCATACATGGCAATCTCTGCACCACATCTGGATGACATCATCAAGCCTCATCTGCGGGACGAGTACCAGCGGGAGAAATCATCCTGGTTTCCGCGTGACGACACCCCCGACCACCGTGCGTATGACAAACGAACACCCGGCCTCTTTAAGGTTGAGTGGGAGGGGGACGGCATCGTTGCTCTTTGTAGTAAAACATACTACTGCTTTGGAGAAAAAGACAAAGCTGTATGCAAAGGACTGAACAAAAAGACCAACGACATAACAAAAATGAACTATCTGGAGGCGCTAGAAAATCAACGAGCCGGTGAAGGAGTCAACAGAGGGTTTCGCATGCGTTCCGATGGTATGTACACCTACGAACAGGTCAAGACTGCCTTTACTTACTTCTACCCAAAAAGGAGAGTCGCCGATGATGGAGTTTCCACCACCTACCTGGACTTGTGATCAAAAAAAACCTGTTAGGCTCGTCAAAACATCAAGCAAATTTCTTTAAACTGGTGGTGGGTAAATTGGTGGTGGTTTAAACAGTACGTTAAGTTTTTATTTTTTATTTTTTTTTTTTATTTTTTTTTTTTAATTGTAAATGTTACAATCTGCCGTTGAAAAATAACTTGAAAATGCTCCTACTTCATTTTAAATTTCACCAACTGCTTTTTAAAAAATAATCCCAAATGTTTCCACTTCGTTTGAAATTTCACCAACCACTATTAAAAATATTTCAAAAATGATCCAAATTTATTTAAAAGTACACCAATTCTACACCAATTTTTTTTTTTTTTTTTTTTTTTTTTATAAAGAATGGTTCCCACTTTATTTTAAATTGTGGTTAATGATTATTGGTATTTTGAAAAGAAACCATAAATTTCCCACTTTTTTAAAATTTTGGATGGTTTACTAAATTGATAACTGCTCTTAAGAAAGAATTCGTACATTTTCTAATTATTTTTAATGTTGATATTACTTACGTTCATCTTTATTTATTTATTTATTTTTCCCTTCATAGTTAAAGAATTATGTATGTTATTTTGTTTACTTGGTTAAATGAAGAAGAAAGAAAGAAAGGAGATTGAAAGAAATAAGAAAAGAAAAAAATAAACTGTTGTCTGTCACTTTCAATTTTGTAATGCTTATTGTTAAACAAAACTTTCTTTTTAATAAATTGAAGGGGGGAATAATAAACTAAAGGGGGAGGGAGGGTAGGAGTGAAAACTTTAGCTTTTAAAAAGAACTACATTACAAAAATAGATTCATTTGATCAAATGGATTCGCGACTTAAACATCCTTTTACTGGCGTAATCACTGGTCCAACTGGAAGCGGGAAAACACAGTTTGTAAAGGGTCTTATTCTAGCTGAGGGAAATACACTGATTGAACCTGCTATTGATAATATTATTTGGTGTTACGGGGAATATCAAGATGCTTACGACCATCTGGCTAGTCTGGTCCCTCGGATACGATTTGTGGAGGGCTACCCCGATGATCTATTGGAGTCCCTGGACCGAAGTCAAAGAAACCTGGTTGTGATAGACGATCTCATGTCCGAAAGCGGGAACAATGTTAAGGTCACTGAACTATTTACCAAGGGTAGTCATCACAGAAACCTATCCGTTTTTCTCATACTACAGAATTTATTTTACAAGGGGAAGGAAATGCGAACCATTAGTTTGAACGCTCATTACATGGTTCTGTTTAAAAACCCGAGAGACGCTTCGCAAATTACACATTTAGCGCGCCAAATGTACCCCACTAAGTCCAAGTATATGATGGAGGCCTACCGCGATGCGACATCCGCCCCCTACGGCTATCTCTTCGTAGATTTAAAGCCAGAAACCCCCGAAATTGTACGTCTCAGAACCAGAATTTTTTCCCGGCGAATATCCCATCGTTTACACTCCAAAGGTATAAAGGATTGTGTTTAGAACGGACGGCAATCATTTGAAGATGTCGAGGCGTGTGCATCACAACGCTCCCTACCTGCATGTGCTGGCTAAGGGAAGCGACAAGCAACGACAGGGTGTGATACAAGGAGCCAACAAGGAACTGATACATTGTTTGTGCGAGTGCGCCCTCAACGTTCTCAACGGTAATATTTCCCTCACACCATCCCAGAAGAAAAAGTTAATCAAATACAAGCGTCAAATGCGAGTTCTCAGCAATAAGAAACTCAGCGTTCAAAAGAAAAAGAAAGTATTACGTCAGAAAGGAGGTTTTCTCGGTGCTTTACTCACTCCAATATTGGGCGCTCTTGGTGGATTATTGTTAAAATAAACATGGAGCACACCAAGAAAATGGTTCTGGTACCTCAGGAAACGTTGACAAAACTTCAATCGACCAGACGATTGGAACAAACACCGACCACGCGCGTGGTACACAGTTTAGATGGTGAGATAAGAGAGCTACTGGAAAGGAAAAACCTTTCAGACGAGGATAAAATTAAACTGTACCACCAGACGCTGCACAGATACATTAACTTAAATAAACAAAGAATGGCACCGCTGACTATGACTTTAGAAACCAAGAAGACGGATGATCAACCACCCAAACTGGAGCCGATGCCGCACGGTCCACCGAAGTTGGAGCGTGAACTTAGCTTTGGTGATTCCTCTAAACTAAAAGTACACTTGAAGGAAGAACCAGAGGAAGAAGAGTCTTTTCACCTACCCCGATTGTTTGCCGAAGCGTCCCATCTGAAAACTACACCCAAAGCGAGGAAAAGAAAACAATGGCGAGTACAAGCACACCGCGTTCGAAACCCAAATGGACTCCCTATTAATACGCACACACTACCCCGACTTAATCATTTGAGACTACCTCATCATGGAGTGCTGTCCACCGAAACCGGGTTGTGGATTTAAACAACTCGCGAAAAAATTCGTTGTTGGTGCATCTGCTGTCGCAGTAGTGTCATTATACAAAACACAGATTTAAGTGATGGCGCAGAACGAAACGTACCTGAAACGAGTGTACTACAACCCCCAACATCCGGCCGGTTTTGGTGGTGTGGAAGCTGTCTACCGTGCTGCCCAAAAAGACGGCGTCGACACCAACCGGAGTCAAATTAGAACCTGGTTAAGTCAGCAACCGACTTAGGCGAGCCCTCAAATTAGAATCCCTCCCCAGACCGTTCGGGGTTGAGCCCGCCCAGTATGTTGAAGGGATTGGGACCTTGCATGGAACCGATCGGCCTGGATTAACTCCACCAGGCTTCAGCACCATGGCTCTGGCTCATCACAAAGGAACCAATTTGCCACGCGCTAATCCTCCAGTAGGCAACAATGACCGTGATGAGATTCATAGAAGTTGCCGCTGGAATCCCAGCGGGCCGAATAATCCTCCAACAATGGCCAGACTTCAATTTATGTTGCCTATTGTGAAACCCTGAGTCACCAGTTTGGACCGATTGGGGCGTCACGCTTCAGTGACCGGGCGGCTTCTGGCTTCGTACCGATTGGGGTGAAAGAAATTAGCATACCGGACCCGGTACCCGAACGGTCTGTTATCTGATGGCTCGCCTTACACACTACACAAACCCATACGCAGGCATTTTCAACGGAACAGAGTCATCGTGGGTGGTATTGACCAGCAGTGGCAGGCGGATCTGGTGGACATGAGATCACTCAGTCGGTTTAATGGAAACTACAAATATTTGTTGACGTGTATCGATATATTGTCGAAATACACCTGGGCAATTCCAATCAAGAATAAGACCGGTTCTTCGCTTATTGACGGCTTCAAGACAATCTTGAAAAGCGGACGGAAACCCACAGTTCTACAGACCGATAAAGGCACCGAGTTCACCAATCATCCATTCCAGTCATTTCTCGAAAAAAATAAAATTGGTTTCTTCACGACTCAGAATGAAACAAAAGCCAGCGTGGTGGAGAGATTCAACAGAACGCTCAAGACAAAAATGTACAAATATTTCACGGCCACAAACAGCCACGTGTACATAAAAGCTTTGCCGAAATTAATGACGGCGTACAATCACGCTTACCACCGAAGCATAAAGACCACCCCGGCCTCGGTAAATAGCGACAATGCCGAAACTGTATGGAGAAACCTGTACGACGAGAACAGTAACGCGGACAAACCCATTTCTTACAAGTTCAATGTTGGGGACACAGTGCGCATCAGTATGGCTGCACGACCATTTAGGAAAGGTTACCTTCCAAACTGGACCACTGAACTATTCACCGTTAGTGCTCGTATTCCGCGCAATCCTCCCGTGTACAAGTTGAAAGATTACGATTCCGAGGAGTTGGACGGGACATTCTACGAACACGAAATACAACCAGCGGTTCAATTGGGCGACCTGTACCAAGTGGAAAAAGTACTCCAGACGCGGAAAAGGCGGGGAAAATTGGAGTATTTTGTCAAGTGGTTGGGCTACCCAGGCAAGTTTAACAGTTGGGTGACAAGTCTGCGCAAGTTATAAAACGTCCGTGACGCGAGTATTTACCTACACAGTTAAAGCTAAGCTTCGTCATGGCGGACTCGTTTTACGTCACGCTCCCTAGCAACAGTTCTATGGATACTCACCCTAACAACACCTTGAGTCATTTTTTTGTAAATTTACCCTCACCCCTGTCTTTTGAGGGAGACTGGGAAGTGGCATTGGCCGAAGTAACTTACCCTCACCGTTGGTTGAACGTGACCGAAGGTAACCTGGTGGCGTGCTCGGGTGGAGAAACAGATTCCAGATTTCACTTTCATCGCGTACCGGAGGGGTACTACCCAACACCTGAAGAACTATTCGACAGCTTTGAACCTCCCATCGAGCACGACGGACAAGTCCGATTCAAGTACAACAAATTCATTCAAAAAGTCATCATAAAGACAAACGACAGCGTGGTGCTTAAATTACTGGGTCGTCTAGCGAACCTACTCGGTTTTGACGATGGTGCAACTGTGTCGGGTATCAAAAAGAGTACGAGGGTGGTGGACCTGCAGCCATTCTATGCGTTATTTATCTACTCTAATATTGTGGAGTACCACACCGTAGGAGACACGCGGGCCCCCTTATTACGCATCGTGAATGTGGACGGGAAGTATGGAGAAACCGTTACAAAAATCTACGACAGTCCTCATTACATGCCCCTGAAGCACAAGTTTTTGGACATGATCGAAATCAATATAAGGGACGGGACGGGTGAACTTATTCCATTTGTTACCGGGAGAGTCATCGTGAAACTTCACTTTCGAAAGAAGCGCTCGTCCTACTTCTATTAATCATCATGAAGAGTCATTACCTACCCAATAGTAAACACTACGAAGATTATTATGTTGGCCAGGTGGGGCGCGGTCTCCCCGTGTTCACTGGTCTGAGAAGTCAGAGAGGGTATGGACTTGGAGGGATTTTAAGCGGACTTTTCCGGTCGGCCATGCCTCTGATCAAACAAGGCGCTAAAACGTTGGGTCGCGAAGCGCTTCGTACCGGTGTAGGAATCGCGCAGGATGCGATGGAGGGAAAAAGTATCAAATCATCTGCCAAAAACCGACTTCGACACGCTGGACGTAATCTGGCCCACTCGGCTCTTCGAGGCGTGGATGCCCGACTCTCACGAGGTCCACGACGTGGTA